TTTTTTTTAATAATATATTGAACAAGTTAGTTTTGTATACGCCATCACGACCAGTGTTGCATTGTTACATAGAGCGCAGTAGTGCAGTGTGTCGCCAACCAAACGGCCCACTGACAGTACCAAGGGGTGGACACTCTTATGGGGATTTTTGTGATAGTTTTTTTAACTTTCTAGTTGGTGCAAGATACACTTGTTAATTAAAGCTGAAGTTATTTGAAATAAAAAATGAGGAGTTTCTTTTTATTGTTATTAGAAAAGTGGTTTTAGCATTAGAAAAATCAGAAAATATACAAGCCAAAAAATGCAATGATGCTGTGTACACACATTATCAAACGTGCATAGATTATCTAAATAATTGGGACATGTTTTTTATTGAAATAGAGATGTTTGAATGGGTCACATTATGCGAAGTCCCTTTGTGGGCGAAAGTAGAGGAAAGCTATATCTTTATTTTGAATCATTGGTCCGTAAATATACTCGATGGTGAATTATTTGATGAAGTTTCATGTGTAAAAAAATATGTCACAAACGAAAAGATTGACGAATGGCGACAGAATAACCAGCCCTGCCATCAAAGGTGGATTGAGATTTCTGAACATTTTACAGCAAAAGAAATTGTTTTCAAAAAATTTGTAAAAACTAAAATCGTAGAATTTTCTTTGTCTCCTTGGATCTAGTGCCCCCATCGAACGAATATTTTCATTGGTGAATAATATGTGGACAAATGTAAAAAACTGATTTAAAAGTAAGAACATTAGAAGCATGTATTTCCATCATATACAACTTTCAAATGAACTGTATGGAATTTTATGACTTTAAAGCGTAAAACGGCACTATAAAAAAAAATTAATTCTTCTGAAAAGTATCAAAATTAATATTGTTTAAATTTTTACAATGTGTGTATGTGTAATAATTCAGATTGTTTAAAATTTTAATGTATGCATTGTTGTGTGCTACTATTTTCGTAATAAATGTTATAAACTTATGAATTTTATAAGGTATTTTTTGATTTTCATCGATATGTCCTTTATTTTCCCCCAAAAAATATGGTCACTGTAGGTATAATATAAGTCAATGCCCATATCGTGTATATTAATTGTCGTATTTATATCTCTCGTTCTTTGATATTTGTATTAGTTTACTTATTGAATCATTAAATTTACTTTTGTTTGTTTTATAATTAGAATGTCTCTTAATTTGATACCGAATCAGATCTCATACGCGTGTTTGTCCGCGAATCGATTAATTGACAAACTGGTGTCAGTCCTGACGAGCATCTGAACTTCGCAGTTCGGATCAACTAGCGGTTATCGCTCTCCTATGAAACTTTTTAAGATCGGATCTCTCGATTCGAAACTTTGGAGACAGATTTCGGTTATTCTGTGCCGATTAAGTGTTACCAGAGTACTACTTACTCTGTAACCCCGGCTACTCTCACACATTATTTAAATCAGCTATATCTTAATATTACTGTATTTATCATAATGTAATTTATATTATTATATCATTGTTATTTCTAATTTGAAATTTAAAATGTTTTCACAGTTATTATTTTCAAACAGATTTTGTTTCTTACCAATGCAATGTTTATCATCATCTCCACTCTCTTTAAATCCTGGCAAACACTGATCACACTGAAAATATGGATCTCTTGTAGTAGGTTTACATGTCTTATTTTCTTTTGTGCATTTATCAATTACGATCTGATTACTTTTGCAGAGATCTGAAAAATTATAATAATTTCAATTATATTTAAATATAAATTAAAGTTAGAAAAAATGTTACTTTTACAAATATGCCAAAAATATTTATTGGTTAAGAATTATTACTATTAAGTTACCTATTCTAATTTATAACGGTACAGTATAATAATATTCACTCTAAAAATATAACGAGAACATACTTCACTTCTACCTATAGATAATTTCGCCATCAATAAAAAACATAAATATTTTATAAAATCTATTATTTATTTTTAAATAAATTCATATATAAATGTTTTTCAAATTAACTAATTTCAAATGCGAACGTCGTCACTTGCTGTTCAAAATATGAAAAATTTTATTGCAAAAAGTAAATAAAGAAATATTTGATTAAAAATCACAAAATTAAAATCGTCGTTTTTACGGTTTCATTTCGTTTGTTTTCCACAGTTACGTTTGTAATTAATAAAATTTGTTGTTTAAAATTACAAATGTTATTAGTTAATTAAAAACATACACCAAAAATACAGTTATTTGTCATGTTGTTGTAAATGACAGAATTAAAATGTAATATCGTTGGATGGTGGAGTGATGGATGTCGCCACCCCGCGGATATTACGTTTTTTTTTTTGTTATTTTCTCATATTTATGTTTTACAAATTTATTATTGTTTAAATACTCCATAATTTAATTTATCTAGTTTTTATACATTTTTTTTACAACTGTAATTACTTAAATTATTAATAAATGTCTCATAACTCTCGTGAGAAAAGACGAGATGAGAACGAGAGCGTTTGATGAACGTTAGTTCGAAACAAAGTTTGTCCTGTCTCTTTTTAAGAAAACAGAAGCATAAACAAAGATCATTTATTACATAACATATTTTTTGGTCCGTCGAGGCGGATTAAGTCCGATAACAAAGGAATCGCAATCATTTTCAGTGAGGAACGTCTTTTCAAGAGACTTTTTGATGCAGTGTGTTAAGCCTAACCTCGTGGATACTGCGTTGGTTGGAATATCGAGTATCGAGCAAAGTTCAGTACAACATTAGCAAGTGAGTAGAAGTTTCTATCATAGTTTAATATAGCATATCGCAAGTTAATATTCATCATGGACATTTCGCAACAAAAAAGGAACCGTAAGGTTATTAAACAAAGCATAACAAGACATTACAATTTTGCCTTTGGTAGTGAAGCTCAAAATGCAACTATTCATATTCTTAG